GAAATAAGTGTTGAAGACATGTGTCCAAGTGTCAATATCTGATTCTCCGTCATCTTCGATTGGACTTTTACAAATAAAGTTAATAAACTTTTAGAAGCAATAGAATAGGTAGATTGAATTCATTAAAGGTTGTATTGTAGACATACATCAACGGCTTTCTCCGTTGCATTTGATATTTCAATTCTCCTATAGAATCAATAATTTCTTTGCCCTCTTTAAGTTTATCGACCTCTGAAAGGTCAAGTGAATGACGAGTTTTATAAACATCGTCGACAATTTTTGTCACGATTACTGGCCATCTTTCTAAGGTTGTAATATATACAAAACCAGCTTCGTCTGTTGCAATGAGAGCGGGTCGTGGAGGGTTGGCTGGATTTACTGACATAATTATCGAAGGAAAAAATTCTACTTAAAATCATGACGTAATCATGTGATCATACTTTATACTTTATACTTTACTCTGTTGCACAAAGTACGATCAATTTACCAAAAACCTTCTCGCTTTCAATGTATTTTCTAATCTTGACTTTCAAACTCTTTGTGTGAAATGCTCTTTCAGGAGTCAGAAGAAGAAAATATGTATATTACGAGTAAATACGAACCACCGACTGACTTTGACACGATCACTATCAATACGACCAATGTCTCGACTAACTTTGGCACGATCTCTCCCACAACGAATGTTCCTACAAATATTAGTAAATACGAACCCTCGGCTGATTACGACACGATCGACGCGATCGCAACCCCTACGGAAAACGTTTCAGTTGACCTTGACATGGTCACTGTCCCTGTAACCAATATTACCAATATTCCTGATAATTATGGCACGATCACCCCTATGGCCGAGGTTCCGGAATTCTTTTTACTCCCCGAAGTAGATATAAATACCTGCAGGGTTCTACTAAAACCATACTATCCTCGTTCGACTTTCTCTGCTGAATCTAATTCTTCAGCACTTCGAAAATGCGATCATAAAAGTAACGAAGGCCCTCTAATATACTATGAACCAAATCTAACACCCGAAACTTTAGCAGAAACAAATGCTAAAGTTACTAAAAACATTGAACACGTATACATCAATTATCTAATTCATTGTTATTTTCTTATTTTATAACGTTGCAGTGATGTATTTTTACTTTATTTCAGCAACTTCGACAACCTAAAGGAGATCCACGAATAAATCGCGAATATGCACTGAGTCTTAACGTCAAAAGACAAAAGTATTGCAAATCATTGCAAGTTCTTGGCTATGAGGTATTTATTTTATTTTTTTTTTAAAAAAAAAATTAGTTTCATATATATTTATATATATTTTATAAAATAAAATAATAATAATACAATTATGTAAATATATATATTTCTTATGATTGTTATTATAATGTAGCAAGATAAAAAAACACATAATCGCAAAGAGTCCACTGTTATCATATCATTCCTTGATAAATTTATGCTTGAATCTCAAATTCGAGAAAATTTTGAAGAATGTGGATTTATACGAGAATGTAATATCGAAAAACATCCAGATTATAATCATAGTCTTGGAATCGCAACTGTTACTTATTATGGTGATGATGATGGTGTAGCTTTAAATGCAGCGAGAGAGGCTGTCATTAGATTTAATGGCAAACAAATATCCGGTGGTCCACCGATTAAAGTGGAACTGGATAATGATGGTTTGTAATTATTTTAATAGGATTAAAAATAAGTTATCGTTGACATATTTCAATTTTACTCATCAACATTCCTAATTTTTAATTTAACCTGAGTTTAGGTTCAAAGTTGAAATCTGCCATTGATGCATATATTTCAGAAGGTCAAACACAAAAAGAGTCACATTCACCTAGTAATAGTCATAAATCAACACCATTGGCAAATGACATTGATATGGAAATTGATGATGTACCATCTCCATCCCCACCAATGGTACCCCCAGCGGCTCCTCCAATAAAAGTTCCATTGGATCCACCACAATCTCGACCATTAGATAGTATTAAAAATAAATATACACATCCTATTCCAACATCTAAAACACCTACAACGAAAGATTCACTGTCGACAACAAAGCTTCCGATAAAAGATTCATCTAAAATGTCACTGAAAGATTCTGTCCCAGCATCTAAGATGCTATCAAAATCTTTTTCAACATCTAAAGTGTCATCGAAAGATTTTGATTTAGATATTAAAGGGTCATCAAAAGAATTTATTTCGACTCCTAAAATTTCATCGAAAGATTCTACCAAGTTATTTAATGAAGTTTTTGATAAAAATGAGCATAAACAAGATATGCTGTTTATGAATGATGACAAAGAAGATGGTGAAATCGATTCAAATACTGAAGAACCAACGCCACGTAATATTAAAGCTAAAGGACCTGAAAGAGGTCCATTTGACTCAAGCTGGCGATATTCAACTGAATCTAGAACACGATTATCTTCATGGCGTGATTATGATCATCTACAATACGATTCTGATCGTTACGGTTTAGATCGTAGAAGACGAAATTCTTCAAGGTCAAGAGATAGATCCAATAAAGGCAAATATTCTACTGAAAAGAGTCGAAGTCGAAGTCGTGATAGAAGCCCGAATGGATTTCAACATTGGAATCGTGATAGAGAAGGTAATCATGGTAGATATCATGACTCTTATCGTAGCCGTGACCGTGATTGTACTTCAAGTCGTGATTATGAAATCAATCGTAAACATGATCGTGATAGAGCTCGTTCACGTGGTCGAGAAAACGATCAAAGTCGTGATAAGGATAACGCTCGTAATAATGATCGTGATCGGGATTATCTATATAATCGAAATCCATCGGAAAGATCTCAAATATCACGTAATGATGAAAAGAAAATTAAATCCGAAAAGGAAGATGATAATACAGATCTTAATGCTAGCATCAAAATTGAAGAAGAAGAAAAAATCGGTATAAGCTTCATAGATGCATTTCATGATCTAAAAGATCTTCCAAGATTCCGGAAACGTTCAAACTTGAACAACGCGAAAGATTCAAAGAAAAAACAGGAAATTTTGACTAAAGATCAAAAGAACCTGTCCACACATGAGTCTAAAGACGTTAATCGAGATTCTCAACAAAAGATTACTTCATCGAGTCCTATACAATCAAAGAAACCGATAAATAAGAAATCATCAGAATCAATCGACAATGAATCTGACGGTTATGGTACTCACGATACTGATGACAAATCGTACGGAAGCATTCGTCGAAAAAATATCAAACAAAGTACCAGACCTAGTAAACGAGTTGAAAGACCGAAAATTAGTGACTGGGATTATTCATCATCTGAGTCATCGTTAGAAGATACTAAGAAGGATTCAACATCCACTATTAGAAATCCATCACCTTTTAAGAGTGAAAAATTGGATAATGTAAATAATAGTGATAGAAATAATGATTTTGAACTACAATCAATACAGAAAAAAAATCAAAAATTAAGTGCATCGAGTGTATCTGAAGTCAGCAAAAAGATACATAATAAATCCAGTGTTTCAAGCGTGTCTGAAACGACCAAAAAATTGAAAAGTAGTAGCTATAATTTTAATTCCACTCTAAAGCATCGTGAATTAAAAAATCGAATCTTTGTTGCTACACCTGGATCAAGTACAAAAATTAAATCTAGTCGTAGACAAAAAAACAATTTGGTATCAAGTGCACAAAGTTCGAAATCTAAAAGCATATTAGCATCTAGTTCAAAAACATTTAATGCACAAGAGACATCAAATTCTTCTAGAAATCAATATGTAGATGACACGACTAGTGACAGTGCAAAACAAACAAGTGGATCAAATTCAAACAGTGAGGGACAAACAGAAGACTATGATTCGTTCTTTAATTCAGAATGGGTCGAGAGACCGTACCTTACTCCAGAAGATGGTATTACGGATGCATTTGATTTAGACATGATCAAACTTTATCTCACTTTACAGCAGAATAACCAACTAGATAGTGACGGTGAACCAATAGACTGGGTAGAAAAGGAGGAATATACTGTCAGAGTAGGAGGTAAGTTACTTATTATTGTATTATTCTTATTGTACTATTATTATTATTATTATTATTATTATTATTATTATTATTGTTATTGTTATTTGTTATTGTTATTATTAAAGTTAAATTTCCTGAAATGTATTTTTTATAATCAGATACTGTATATTCATACAAAGACTATGCACCTGATCCAGGGCCTCATAAGACAGGATGTGCTAGGACTGAAGGGTATTACAAAATACCACCAGAAGAAAAACGTAAATACGTTACATATGGTATCGCAGGTACGCCATATGCAACTGCCACAGCTCCGGCGCCTAGTCCACGAGAATCAAGAGCAAAACGACGAGAATTACATGCACGGATGGCCACGGCGTCGGAAGATTATCTTCAATTCAATCCATTAAAATCACGAGAAAGAGAACTTACAATAGCAAAATCGTCAATACATCACTATGGACTTTTTACCTTAGAAAAAATAAAGTGTGGAGAATTTGTAATCGAATATACAGGAGAATTAATTAGACAGGCGGTTGCAGATTTGAGAGAAAGAAAATATAAGGCAGAGGGAATTGATGGAAGTTATATGTTTAGGGTTGGTGATGATACAATAATTGACGCCACTAGAATGGGAAATAATGCCAGACTAATAAATCATTCGTGTGAGGTAAATTGAACATAAGTTGAATTAAATTGCTTAATTTTTTTGAACAATTTACTGACTTTTTTAGTTTCTCATGGATGTTATATGGAATTAAAGCCGAATTGTAATGCTAAGATTCTTAACGTCAAGGGACATAAAAAAATAGCCATATACGCGAAAAGGAACATACAGAAGAATGAAGAGATTACTTATGATTATAAGGTAAATTAATAATTATTATTAAGCTTTATTACGATTTATATTAATTTATTTATTGATAGTTTCCAACCGAAAATTTTGATAAAATTCCATGTCATTGTGGAGCACCTAAGTGCAGAGGATTTCTAAATTAGTATTTACAACACCGGCTTACTCAATGTATTGTTTAACGTGAGTTAGATTGTTAATTTAGTATACTTTGTTGTCTCCAATGATGTTTATAATATACAAATTGGTGTCTAATAACGATCAATTATAATATTGTTTTGTTATTGCTCATTTAATGTTGTGTAGTAGTTTTAATATAATTGTGTTTGTATTATATATACAGTTGCAAGTGTAATTTTATAGAGTCTTTTATTATAAAATATATAGTAAGTTGTCATTAATTTTACTAGTTGTATAAAATAAATATAGTAATATTACAGTTGTTTAAAGTTAAAATATAATTACTAATATAATTTCTATAGTATAATATATATGTAATTATACATACATATATATTTGCAGCACGTAGATGTATAAATTTTGTTTAATATACTGTGTGTTTTGAACTATTAAACTATAATTAAAAAAATTTTAATCTAATGTTAGCTTATATTTTTAAACTTTTTACTAAACAAAATTTGATTTTTTTTGTAAAAATTTAAAATATTTATCAAAACAACTAATTTTAAACCTATCTAATAAAATTTTAGCTAATTGTTAAAATATTTTAAAATTATAAAATTTAAATTATAAAATATATACTGTATTAAACTATTACAATTAAAAGTTATTAAATTATTTTTATTTATTAAAATTTTGCATAGATTAGGTATAAGCAAAATTCAAGCCTAGTTTAATATATATCTAAGCATAGTTTATAGTTTAGATTAAGTAGATTCAAGTTTAACCAATAGTTAAATACTGTATTAGAACAAAATTCAAGCCAAGCTTATAGACAAAATAGTTTAAACTTTTATTGCAAAACTTTACTAAATCTTATAAAATTTTATATCTAAATTTGTTAAGATTTGTTATTAAATTACTGTAGTATACAGTATGTTGCAACTAAATTTTAAATTGTTAAATTTTAGATTAACTTGATTTGTGGGTATATTTAAAAATTAACTTGAATTAACACAATGAATAACAATACAGTACGTATAATGTAATGGTTAATTATATTGTGTCACACTGAACGATCGACATAACCTTGCACATTTTTTACAGGGGATCACCAAAATTTCGGGTTGGAATGGATCGGAACTGGGCCGGCATTAAGCAATGTTAGCCAATATAGACTATAGCAAAATTATCCAACAAACTCATATGATCATAAGTGGTTTTTTACGACAGGGTGAAACCTGCGTCGCTAGCTAGTAAAACCCGCGCTGATTGGCTATATCAGGTAAAACCTGAAATGGCAATGTAAAATCGGATAGATTAGTGAACTCAGCAGGTCGACCAAAATTTAGGGTCAGAATAGGCCTGGAGCTAGGCCGGCACTAAGCAATAATACA